AGAGGAAGTACATTCAGTTATTTGCCTCAGAGTGGCTTCTCTGAACTTCTCTGATTGTGAGACAGAAAATCTAATATGTGATTACAAGTTTTCTGAAAGCCCAGTTTGTTTCAACATGTTCTGGAAATTTTCGATGGTCTGTTAGTCTGTCTATTTATTCATTTATTCAACTATTGTAAAGCTTTATCACAAGCCAGATAGAGAATTAGGTGATAGGGTTGTTTGGGAATCAAGGTCCCCATACAGGAACACACTTCTAGAGGCAGTATAGCATAGTCATAAGAAGGAAGTCTCTAGAGTCAGATGGACTGGGGCCTTAAATTACGACATCCCCATATCCCACTGTGTGTATGACCTTGGGCAGGTTACTTAATTGCTTCATGTGCCTGAGCAGCCTTTCCTAACTGTCCCAGGTAGTTACTCACTTTCTATACCTTTGCTCTCTTTTATATACCAAGAACTACTCTGTACATTGTAATATATTATGGTATTTCACAGTGAATAAGTAGCAGATCCTGGACTCACATCAAGATCTGTCTGACTCCAAAGCTATGCTCGTAGCCACCATGCTGTGCTTTAGCAACAAACTGGATGTGATAGGTAAGGAGGAAGAGGACACAAATGTGAGTTTTCTAGCATAGGCACTTAGAGCAGCACATTGCTATTGGAAAGGATACAAATGTAAGTTATCGTCCTGAATTATCATTTACTCCCAAATTTCCCAGCACCTTATTACCTGTGCGAGCTTGGCTGCATAACACATCTGACCTTCTTTGTTAATCTGTAAAGTGTATACAGTGGTACCCAACCCTGTAAGGTTGCTCTGGGGACTTAATTATATGACATGTTATTAAAGCAACTAGCTTAATGCCTGATATCTAGGTGCTGAATAAATTATCTTCCTTATAACTCTCGTAGAAGGACCTGTACTTTTCAAGAAGAGTTTGGTTTAGACATGTTAGATCTAATAACAAGTAGTAGGCAATTATTAATTTGAAGTTCATCTGGGAAGTCAGGTTGGAAGCAAATGTATTGGTCATCAGCATAATGAAAATTGCAGTTAAAAACTTTGGGCGAGGTTAGTTATACAACAAATGATGGAGTACCTGCTGTGAGCTAAGCGAAGTGGAATGGTACTGAACAAAACAGTGAAGTGGAATAGTATATTTAGAAAATATGTCAAACTGCCTTTTCACTTGGGGAAATGAAAGGAAGCTGTTTTTGAAATGGAAACAACAGGAGTGTAAGAATCTTGCTTCTCAAAAATAACTATGAGTCAAAAATACCAAAGTGTTACAGGTGTACATTCAGATGAGAAGAAGGCCTCAGGTGTGGGCATAGGAAGAAGTCTTCAAAAAAGGCTGAGAAGGAAAAACATCCTGCCTATTTCTAAAAGAATTTTACCAGGGTGGACTGCATTGATGTGGAGGCTAAGATGGAAGTCAGGAGGGTACAGCAATCTGACTGAAGCCTGGATTCAATCTCAAAAAACAACTAGAAAATGCAGATGATGAAGCCAAAGCATTCCAAAGAAGAGCCAGATTTGTACTTTTGTCTTTTAAAAAAATTATGAATCCCCACTCACCAGCATATTTTACATGTTTACATTGAAACATCTTTCTAGGTATTACTACGATTGGTAACAGAAACATCAGCTTGCAAAATAGACCATTGAGAGTCAATGAAGGCTTTTTATGAGTTGGGTATATCTGGCTCCTACCAAGTTATTAATAGTAGTAACAATATAGTGGCTAACCCTTATGGGGTGCTTACTGTGACCCATTCACTGTACTAACTCATTTAATACTTCTTTTACAGTAATAGTATCATCTTCATTTTACAGATTAGGAAGTAGCCTAGAGGCTAAACAGCGTGCACAGTAGCCCAGAAACACGAACACTCTTTGTTGTAAACTACATGTAGTTCAGAATTGGGGAACATATGTTAGCTTTGTTTGCTTTTTGTTTTTTTGATCTATTTGTATTTGGCTTTTTTACTTTCTCATTTTTAATTTTTTTAGAATCCTGTGCTGCTCAAACTAGACAACTCTGGAGACTAGCCGTGGGCTGCCAGTTTTTGGCTGTGCCTCAGACACTTATTAATGGTTTAAATTGAGACTTGAGACGTCTTTTTTGTAGTTGATCACTTAGAGCCTAAAGGGGTCAGATAACAGGTAACTTTTTAATATGGAGGACCCACAAACCATGTAATGAAGGATTTGGGGGGACCAGTAGGCTCAACAAGACCAATATTGTTCTTACAGGCCACAGTGTTCTATCGCATATTTTATCATTCACCTGACATGATCCATACAGAGAAGTTAAGACTAGAACAGTGAACACTTGTATATCCTCCACCCAGATCTGGTGGTAGTTAATATTGTCCCACCTTGACTTCACACACATCTCTTTCTCTCTCTCATATATGCATACATGTGCACGTTATTGTTGAACCTCTTAAAAGTAAGTTGTAGACATTATGACACATCACCTTTAATACTTCCACAGGTAATTATCCTAAGAATCAGCATAGCCTCCTATGCAGCCACAATACCATTATCACCCCTAAGTAAAAGAACAACAACGTCTTCTAATAGTTTGTGTTCACATTTTTGCTAGTTGTCCCAAGAATGTATTATTTGTTCACAGTATGATAGCGCTTATATAAAGTATAAAGCATATAGAACACTATATATTGCTTAGGGATGAATTCAAATGTAGTAAGATACAAAGATTTCCATGAGTGATTACCACTGGGATACCCACTGGGGATGGAAAGAGATGTAATCAGAGAGAGAATACCTAGGAGTTTTTCCTGCCATATTAGTAATGTATTTCTTAAAGTGTGAGTACATGGTTATCTTTTATATTACTTTTTTATGGCCTTGTCTGTGTTTGAAATATTAATTTTTTTAAAGAAAACATTTGAGATGTAATGGTGAATGACTAAGAATTGGGATGTTTTAACCAAAAATGTTAACAATAAAGTTTCTGGAGATGTTTAAAGGTTAATATGCTGTCCATCTCACCCACCTGTGCTCTTGCATTGCATTGGGCTTTTAGCACAGGGTACATCCGTGCTATCTTGCAGCTTCTACTACTAGCTTGGAACCTACACCTTCCCCTTGGATGATAAACATACTCAAATCTCTATCCTTAAAAAAAATTTCTTTAAGTCTCCATATCTTATTTTTGGAGGGGAAGGAGGAGGCAGGATCTTACTTTGTCACCCAGGCTAGAGTGCAGTGGCGTGAACATGGTTCACTGCAGCCTCAACCTCCCAGCTCAAGTGATCCTTCCACCTCAGTCAGTCTCCCTAAGTAGCCGGGACTACAGGCGTTTGCCACTATACCTGGCTAATTTTTGTGTTTTTTGTACGGGTGGGGTTTTGCTATGTTGCCCAAGCTGGTTGTGAACTCCTAAGCTCAAGCTGTCTTCCTGCCTTGGTCTCCCAAAGTGCTGGGATTACAGGCATGAGCCCCTATGCCCGGCAAAAGCCCCGTACTCTTGAGGCTATTACAGAATTTTTTTCTCCCTGCTTTCAGTTTTGAAGGAATGGTCTGTACTTGCAGTCTTTAATGTATTACATCAGTACCTCAAAATCTGGCTTCTGCTCACTTAACTAAAATAGCTCTATTGCTGAAATTGCCGACATTCTGAATGTCAAATGCAAACCTTTCTGTTCCCTCCCAAGGTTTTGTTTGAGATCTCCCCACATTTTAGGTCCTCTTCTGGATGTCCTCAGCTGATGTTGGGCCTTTCAAAACTCAGTATGTCCAAACTTGAACTCTTTGTGTTGCGCCCATACCACTTCCTCCTCCTGCATTCCTTTGCTCGAATAGTTGCCGCCTCTGTTCATCCAGTTGCTCATCTAGAAACTTTGAAATCATACTTTACTCTTCCATCTTCTGTATGTCTCACAGGCCACTAGGTTACTATACCCTGCTGATTTTAACTCTAAAATACCTCCCAGTTTTCCGTCTTCCCTTGCTACTGCCACCAGTTTCCCTGGTTGAGGTGTTCAGCATCTGGTCTAGAGCAACATCCCCAAGAATGTCTTTTATATCCGTCTCCCTACCACCTTCACCCCATCTCTCAAACCAGAAGCCAGTCATGATTCATGCATTGCATTTGATTGTGATATTGTGTTTGGTTGTGATAGTGCATTTGTCTTCTTTATTCTGGAGCAGAGATTTGGGCCTATTTTAGTCCAGCTTTATTGGGAGATACCCACACTC